ACAGAATCCGTCGACGCTCGGTGTGTTTGTCATTCATATATTCTTCACTAAGCAGTTAATTTCAAGCACCTATTTTTAATAGTTGTTCTGTCATCCGAATGAGTAAATACATCAAGAACTTCAGTTGCTTTTCCTAACTGCATTAGTAGATCAATCCACATGAGTGGGAGCACCAAATGATAGCTTCTATGAAGTACTTACTGGGCTAGAAGCTTAATTTCTGATTACTGATCAATGAAAATCTTCGTCATCAGGTCAACACAGAGAGTTGGACAAGTGAAATATCACTTGGGGTTACTAATACACAAAGCCACAAACGATGTCGCTACTTAACAGAATTGTATGTATAATAAAGTAGCCTATACATATGACAAAATACTTTGATAAAAGTCTCAGCGTTTGAGGCGTTTGGAAGATAACAGCCTCGGTCATTCGGTATCATCTGAACCATTGGTTATATGTGGTTTGAGATGTTAAATTAGTCATGGGACAGCCTTTTTTACAATAACCAAAGGTCAAATCAACAAGCCACAATTGTTACTATTAACTGTTGGTCTTTCGCAATCGTCAATTGTAAACAATTTATCAAAGTATTCGGGCAAAGCTTCGGCTTCAGCAACATCATTTCTTCCCAACATCGAAGGATTTTCTTGTACCGAACGTGGTGGGATCATAATCACCTCCATGAGTTCGCCTCTCAGGTCAATCAACAATCATTAAGCACATTGAAATCAATCCAGTATATCAACCAATCAAGAAAATTATGGACAAACATAGGAACAAATCCAAATCGATTGGAGATATATCCAAAACAAAGAAGTAAACAGTGACGGGTTTAAGGTCAACAAGAACTAATCAACACTGAGGTGTAAAGCACAAACTGTGAATCTGTTGGGGACGATAGATCCCCAAAACTCAAATTTTGTAATTTACTTATCGATTAAATATGCAGATAGGTCAATTGATGAACTATCGATTAAATGTACAAATAGGTCAATTGATGAACTATCGATTAAATGTTCAAATAGCAGTCAATTGTTGATTAATGTTCAAAAATCTTCCATGACAATATCGATTGTAAATATTTGTATAAATACGCTTGACTTGTATGCTTGATCTGATCTGCCTGCCTGACTTGTTATCTGCTGTTTGTCTGTAGAATACACTTTCTACACCTTACCCAGACTTTTTGATCGAGTTAGCAGAGTTGGGGACAACGGACCAGAATAGACTATCGAGATTCTGAATCCTTGATCCGATCGATAAGTCACTGTCATGTAATCGCTTGTCTGCTTTGAGCCATAACAGAATCACATATGGAGAAATTCGAACACTTCACTTCCAGCTGAAATTTGTGCTGATGATGTCGTTCAGGAGAACGATGAAAGCTACATGACCAAACAATCCATCTCAGAGAACAAAACTCCGTCAAAAACTGACCAGTCCGTTGTTGTAGCAAACTCCTGCATAACTGACATGTTTGCTCTCCACACATTTGTGCGAGTTTAACCTGACCGTGTATTATATCAAAAGCCCGAAACATGATTGATAAAAACAACATGATCGCTGTTCGCTAAAGTCGAGAGAATATTTAGATTGGGAATATCCTCGCTTGCACTAGAAGTGAGTGACAATACACGTTTTACTGTTAATTCTGATAGTTGTCAAGAGAAAGCCTGTACTTGAACATCACTACAGAAACTGATATGTATGTTCGTAGTAATGGTAATAACAAGTGTCCAATTGACGTCTAAAAAACCTATAAAACAGGTCGTTTAAAATCATTTTAAGTGTGATATCTTTCTTTTTCAATTCAAACACTTAACTTGTTTTTGCGCAATTTCCCGTTGAATGCTGCCGTCCTAAAGTAGTCATTAGAAAGGAAATAAGGGCGAATTTAAGGGAAATAAAGAGAAGTACAGCGCAAATAACGGGTAAATATCGATTTTCTGGAAATAAACATGGAAAGGTAAATAATCTATTGAAGACCGTTGATAACGGGATGATAATTATATATATAACATAAATATGGTAGTAATAAATGGATTTTTTTTAGTCCTTCAATCATTTTTGTTTTTTTGTTTTAAAACATTTAATAAAAGTCCCGAAGCCATTGTGGCGTAAATGAGAACATTATGAAAATTAATAATTTTTATTCAACAAGAGCTTTACTAACATTGTGTAAACTACATTACGTTCAAGGTTTATCAAATAACCATTAGAATGAAACTACATATTTATAAATACTTTCGTTTAGTTAGATATTAAGCAAGTCTACAGAAGTCAAACTTCTGGCTTTCGGATTTGAGGTATATAGTTTAGGTATTGGAAGCCTTACCACTAATTAATTTGTAGTGACTTATTTTTACCACGAGAAAACGATTGGTTTAGTGAAAACAATTATTATTATAACCAATTGTACCAGTGACTGTTTAATGTGCTCTTTGTTTAACTGTGCTAATGACAGCTATATTGTGCTTCCATTATTATTCTTACACTTTGATTATGACCTCGCTCGGTAACCAAGCTCGTATACTGGCACGATTTCGGTATTCTTTCGATACCACTAGATCGCCAGCAAATATATCTCGACTTGGTTCATTAACTGCCTTCTGATATTTGGCTTCCGGGGGATTTTATGGATATACTGGCACGCGTTCCTTTGCAGTTGTGTTCATAGTCAATTTCGACTCAACGCCACACTACAAATTTACATTTTTATGAAGTATATTGAAAGATAGAAAATACATTTTAAACAGCTGCAAGACCAAGGCTCGGCATCAGATCATGGAGTCATTTATTGTTGGAAGATTAAGACTACGTGCTTGGTGTCCGTGGTATAACGGAGATTAGTGGATGCAGACTTTGGATCACATGGTTCAAATTCATTAGCAATAGCATAGATGCATTCACTTCTTAACTTCTTCTGGGTCAAAAATTCAAGTATTTCCTATTATATAACTTTCGATTCAGTATTTTAGAACCCTATTCTCAATACCTAATCCTTCACTTTTTTCTACATAATTCCGGTCCTTTATTGCAATATATCTTGTTAATTTCATTTCGTCATACCAATGCCGTATTGCAATTCTAACTAGTGCACATCTGTCTTTGGCCTTACTTTAATGATTTTTGAGTTACCTTTTAAATTTCTTGTCTACATTAGAAGTAGAAATAGAGATAACCTGAAAACGACTAAGAAATAAAATGTGGTAATCAAAATATAATAAGATTTTATGATATAAAATAATGTGAATGAAAGAAAACCGCTGCTGGAACCGAAACAACAATTAAACTGTGACTTCTATAATAGAACTTATGACATCGTGTGTAAAAGGCAAAATTCATACATTTAAAAAAATCATTTCATTTTGAATGTACTATTTTGACTCTAAATAGTTTTAAATGAATTTAAGCTTAAGCATCAACTTTGAGGTTTAAGTAACTGGCTAGTTACACCATCCAGTGGTTTATATATGATTTAGGGGTACTTTCTTTAAATTAAAAAAATGATACATATTATTTATTGGAGTGTAAATCGTAAAAATTCCTGACAGTCATTTATACCAATTCACTTGTTAAGTTTGTTTATGTTGTAGTCTGATTGGGATTACCAATTGTAGCGTGGCGTCGAGTCGAGGTTAACTATGAACACCGCTACCAAGAAACACGTGCCAAATAAATCAGAAGGCGAGGGTTGGACGTAACCAAATAGATCCATAAAATCCCCGAGAAGCCAAATACCAGAAGGCAATTAATGGACCAAGTCGATGTTTATTTGCTGGCGATCTCGTGGCATCGAAAGGATACCGAGATCGTGCCAGGATACAACCTTGGTTACAGAAGGTAACCGAATTCGCGCGAAGTTACAATCGAAGTGTAAGTAAAAGAATGGAAGCACAAAATAGCTGTCATTAGCACAGTCAAACAAAAGCACATTAAAACAAACACTGGTACAGTTGGTTATAATAATAATTGTTTTTATTAAACCAGTCGTGTTCTCGTGATAAACGTGAGCCACTACAATGTTCCATCCTTATTCTCTTTCCATCAACATTTTTTGTGTATTGTTTTATACTACTTATTAATATTTAGTAAATAGTTGTATTCCTAGCGAATTCTAACCCAACGGTAAATAGAAAGCCTCTATATATACGCTTACAATTCAGAGGTGACGCGCCGAGTGAAATGTTAAGACTTAAGTTAAGTAGATCAATTCAAAGGACTTTTAACGCAGCTAAACTACAACTAGTATTTTCCACACGACCAATAATCACTCCGAGGTTGAAAGATAAATTACCTAGACTAGCCACCTCCTTCTGTATCTATCAATTCAACTGCTCCTGTGGAGCAAGTTATATTGGCAGATGTTCTAGGAATTTGTGCATTCGGGCTCGTGAGCACCTACCCGTGTGGTTAAGCAAAGGTGTTGTCAAAACTGTTAACAGCTCCATCTTAGACCATTTAGTCCAAACAGGACATACAGCCAACATGGAGCAATCTTCTGCAATAGTTTTTCGTGTCAACAGCAGTCTACCTAATTCCATCAGACTGCGAATCCTACAGACGGCTGAAGCAATTGCTATTCGGATCAAAAAGCCAGAGCTTTGTATCCAAAAGAAGTATGTTCAGCCACTCCTTTTACCTTGGCCAACTAGCTAATAATCAATCTTAAAATGTGGTGGCGTAATCTGATTAATGTTCATTTTATGTCCCAAACTTATTATTATTATTATTATTATTATTATTGTTATTACTGTTATTATTATTATTATTATTGTCTTTACACTTGATAACCCCTTTTTGAGGAATTTATTCAATATCCACCCCTGAACCTACTATATTTGACCTGATTATTTTACATATTACGCAATTTCCGATTTGTAATCACAATATTCTTTCGCTCTCTCTCTTACCCCATGTTGACCATATTTATTCTGATCATGATTTATCTCACAATTTTATTTCGCTTATAAACCGTTTCAAGTTAACACTTCATATTAGTCAGCCCCAACATTAACGATTTTATTTTTATATAACAAACAATTCCTGATTCACATATTACAATTTCCAAATGATGATGTATTTTGCCTTAAATCTGGCCAATTTTATGGATTATTAATCTGGATTTATAATTGTAGAATCTGATGAGAAATTATTGAAAAGAATATTCTTCGTTCATACAATTATGTTTTTATTATTTGTTGAAAAACTGTGATCAAGATTAAACACAGCTATCAGCTGTCATTTTCACTATCGTATGTCATAATTACAAGAAGCCTTTTCTATTTCAAACTTACAGACTCATTAAGCTTAACAGATATCTCACGATTTGAGATTGATAACTAATATATGTCCATTCTTCGATAAAGAATTTCTTTTTTAAACAAATCGCTGTTTTATGAACTTCGGTCTCGTGGGTATCTCAATTGTTTAATTCAATGTTTCGATAGATTCGACAACATCTGAAAGTATACAGAAACCTCATATTGGTATGAGTATTTGTTAACTGTATCTATCTAACACTAAATATTCTATTACATTAGATGTTAATATAATAAGTTTTCCTTTTTTTATTAGCACTTAGGCAAGTTGATTTCTAAAACTGATTATCAGTCCAAAGATACAAAAAATCTAGTAATTAAAACGTTAACTGTTCTTTACTTAGAGATAAAGAAAACAAACATTCTTCCTAGTTAACGTGTACAATACATTCTTTATCACATGGTATTTATGATGAATGCAAAAAGATATTAAATCTCTTTTATTTTTTTAAGTCAACTTTCAGTATCTAACATGCATAGATACTTTTAGCACTGTCACGTGAACATGGACAAGCATGACGACATAGTTCAGAAATGAGAAGAAATTTATTGACAATCATTGTAAAAAAATATAATTAGTTGGTTATAAGGAGGTTGTAGGCTGCTCAATTCTAATCAATAATAGTTTCTTGGTATAATGGCAAAACATTGTCATTGATCGTAAGCTACTAATTATGTATATATATCAAGAATGTGTAGTTATAATTATTAATATAAATACTAAATCAAAATGAAATAATTTAGCTAGTAACAAATATACTTCGTTTGTGATATATAGTTTCTATTTGTTTGATTGTGACAGAACAATGTCCAGTCCAACTAAAAAAATTGAACAAATGCAACAGCATGCAATTGAATTATCATTAGAAGCTATGAATTTATTCTCATCTCATGATGATATAGCTGATTATGTTGCGAAAACATTCAAAGAGACATATTCAGGTTGTTGGGAATGTAAAGTTGGAACAACATTTGGAAGGTATGTCTATGACGATTTATCTAGTGTATTGATTTGATTAATTAAAAAAATAATAACAATCATGTTCATAATTTTCTGGTTAGCGTTCTTTTAGCGAGTTAGTTTTCTACGTGATGGGTTCGCTAACCCCACGCCCAATCTTTCGTCTTTATCCGGGCTTGGGACAGGAAGTAGCCCTAGAGGGGCTCCAGGCGTAGTTGATCATGTTCATACTAAAAGTTTAATATTGAACAATAATATTGTTAGGAAAGATATGAAACCATGTAAAACAATTATTATAAAGTTGTATGATTTGTGAACATTACTAACACCATGTAAAGTATCACTGGAAATCATGGGTCAGCATGAAACCCGTTTCATTATAACTTAAGAGTTTTTAACAGTGAATACCCATGAATGAATACTAAATTATCAAGTCATGGAGCATACAATACATTTTTGTATCAATTCGTTGAAAGTTAGTGGATTATTTTCTTGAGATGGTGGAGAAGATTTGTAGCTCAGGTGGATGATTTTGATGGAGTTTTGCTCTTTGAGCTGGATAGTTTGGTCATGATCAAAATTATTTCCTTTCAATTTCAGATAACATGTAATTCAGTTTTTGAGTGTTTATTGCATTGTTAATTGGATAACTGATTACATAATATGTAAATGATTATCATAACTTAAGAACTTTCACATCAATATTGATGGGTATAATATCATTATTATCAAATTAAAAAGTTTTGCGAGTAGTGCGTTGATGTTGCAAGATGTATTCATTATACTAGCTTATCGATGAAAACAAATGACGATCAAGTTAACTGTCAACTTAAGGAATCTATCCCTCGAACTGTATGGTTTATTTACAAACACTTGGTTGTTGTTCAGAACATATATAATGAGTTCATTTTGGTCTATTATACTTAATTGGATTGAATTTCCCTTTTGAATGGTTGTCCTTCATTTATGTATATTATCATTTATAATGACGTATGGTAATTAAATTAATCGACCTTAATCTTAATGGTTAACAGGTTGCTGTAATAATCGTGATATTATCAGGAGGGTTTTTGTGGATATTATAGTAATTTTACTAGATGAGATCATGAGTCACATTCACGCTCAGTTTCGTGGATTAGTTGAAGTTACACATTAATATCGTTGGATGCCGGCTGGCTCAGTGATTTAGAGGTTAAGCGTTCATGCACGAGACCGATGGATCCTGGGTTCAAATATCGCGAGGTGGAATCGTGGAGGTGCAGTGCTGAAGAGTCCCACAATAGGACAAAACGGCCATCCAGTACTTGCAGATCTTCCATAGTGGTCTAGCTTCAATTCAATCATGATGTCAACCACTAAAATCCTAATATTATCCAGTTACTGCATTCTTACAAATGATAAATCATATACATCATTATCAGTTCACAAGCTGCTAGAGCATTATTTATTGTTTATTATCAACATAGTAATCAATCCAAAACAATATTATTATGGTTGATTATGGTCTTTTTTAATTTTAGCTTTGATACATGGGATTTAGAATACTGTTTTCGATATTTTGTGGACCAATTGGCATTCTTGCTGTACAAATCAAATTAATCTCATCTAAATCTAACTTGTGTAAATAATTCGGATCATATTGTACCTATAAAAGTATTTACATCCAACCAAATATATTGACAAGCATTTTATACTTCCTCATATTATGTATCAGCATTGTAAATATTAATGTAAAGTAGAATAAAATTTTCAGGTAATCTGTAGTATTATATCTTTTTTTATATGATACATTTGTATAGTAACTTAATAAAACACTAATATCAGAAGGGGTTTGGTGGATCATTAGTCAGTTGGAGCTAGACCATCATGGAAAACCTGAAAGCACTGCACGGCCGTTCCGTCCGATTGCGGAACTCCTCAACAATGCGTATCCACAATTCCGCCCCGCGAGATTCGAACTCAGGACCTATAGCTCTCACGCGCGAACGCTTGCACTCTAGACTACTGAGCCAGTCGGCATCCAACGGTGTCAATGTGTAACTTCAACCAATCCACAAAATTGAGCGACACATTCAACATTGTCTCCAGTGAGTTACTATCTCACAAAAGACCTGGTTGAACTCCACTAATCACTGCTTCTCATTAGAACTCCAGGAAATATATCTTGGAGACCTTCACTAGTGAGTATATGTCGACTCATATCAGAAGGGGTTTTTGTGGATATTATAGTAATTTTTTAATAGTTGAGATCATGAGTCAATTGGAGATAGATCACTATGGAAAACCTGGATGTACTGAACGGCCACTTCGTTCTACTGTAGGACTCCTCAGCAGTAGGCCTCCACGATTCCGCCTCGTGAGATTTGAACCCAGGACAATAATAATCTATCATAAACATTTCATGATTAAAGGAAGTCAACAGGAAAGGTTTATTATTAGAAACATATTTCTTGATGCATGTAGTCATGACATATCTGTTAACACAAAAAGAAGCGTTTGCTCCATGAGATATTGGCTGGACAGTCGTTTGACAAAGTGTCTAGAAGTTTAACCATTAGATAATCAGTTTATTCCTTGTAGTTATGTTTTATATTTACAAATTAGACGGTTCTTAGTTAGGTAGTTTTCCACATTTAATTCTAAACCCCATCATGAAAAAAACGTATATAAAACGTGATATTGACTTATTTTTAAAGTAAACCTTGCTAATGAAGGGAATAAGAACGAATCCTATATCAAAAAAGTTCAACTATCTCCGACAAAGTCATTTGATGGTAATTTCACATGAAGTATATAAGGCGTTATAAATTATAAAATGTTTAGTGGCTAGCAGTGGAATCAAGGAAACGCATCTCGTCAGCTGGATGTACATACATCCCAGAGTTGATGTTCACTCCGGGACTTCAACTTAATACCGTTTGCTTAAAATGTCATCACAATATCCACTTAACAAATAAGTTCAGATACCCACTAGCTTGTGCAACAAGGTGAATTTTTAATAATTTTGTATTGGTTAACTGAGTCTTCCCATTGATGTTCAGGACTTTAATTGATCAGTCACTTGTTGGAATGCGTACATCCTGTGAAGATTGCCTTGATATTGCCTTAAATCACAGTCATTTCAAGGAGAGATGCTTGATACACCTGGCTAACGAGTCCCAAATATAACGAAACGCACGTCCTTGATTCCACTGCTAACCACCATCCATCTTTGCCTACAATGCTTGTGATTGTGGCAATCTGCACTGGATGAACACATGCCAATAAAAGATGGATTAACTGAAGTCCTAAATATCAATGGAAAGATTCAAACAATCCATAACTAAATGAATTCTAAAATGATTGTAGCGATCTGATCGAAACTGAGAAATCATAATCATTCAGGTTTTGAAAAAGATAAATATTTTCCTTTCTCTAAATAAAACCCATCATATTTACTACTTTGACAACATAAGTCCGCAAACATGATTGTAACTTTTAAACAATCAATGTGTTCATTGTTAGATGTTATTGTTTAACACGTTTATTTGGAAAACTCTTCAAACTTTAAGTTATTTACACAGATTGAAATCATGAGTCAGTTGAAGCTAGAGCACCATTGAGAACCTGGAAGCACTGGACGGCCGTTTCGTCCTGGTATGGGACTCCTCAGCAGCGCGCATCCACGGACCCGCACCACCCGGGGATCGAACCCAGGACCTACTGGCTTCGCGCGCTAGCACTTAACCATTAGACCACTGAGCCGGCATCCAACGGTGTTAATGTCTAACTTCAACTAAGTTATTTAATCAAAACTATTTTAACTATTCCATACACTTGATTGTAGTTTCTATCAATATTAACATCCTATACATTTCATCCATATACTCCAATTAAATTAATCACAGTGGTTCAAATGTCCTAAATAGTTTTTTTCTAAGGCTTATAGTCATATTACACTATGAACATCATTTATAGTAAATGATAAAGGTGAATGGGTGAGACTATAATTTGTGGACGAACCAATCAGGTATAAGATAACAGGTCTCGGATTTTGGTGAGAAATTCACTCATTCATTTGGTTAAATAGAGTCTTGGCATTATAGCTTATATCAGTTCGTGATGAAAACCTTAAATCTAATTTCTAACCTTAATCATCAACTATAAATCATAATTCTAATTCCTCACACGGGTTTATAACCCTCATTTGGTACTGATTATAAGATGAACACTCTCAAGGTCAGTCTAGCAGTGCAATAAAACACTGATAAAGTAATTGAATTCTTGAATATTTTAAGACCTTTTATTGTAGGTAAATCTACCTAATTTAACTTAATGAAGACTTTTTAATACGAAAAATATCGTACCTAAACGTTTAAACAAAGTTAAAATCTTTGAATACTTTACATAAAGCTCATAGTGTGATGAACGCGAACACAAAAGGGAGTAATCAAGTGTATTTGAACACAAAATCATAGAATCTCTTAATAAAATCTTAATTTGCAAAATGTCGATCAATCGTCTCAGACTTCATTGTTCTTTCGTTTCCGCACTAATCATTCTTTGTTCTTGTTGTCTTTTCTTTGATCTTCTTAACCTTCTAGGCGTTTCACTTTTGATTGATGATTCATACTATTTATATCTATCGACATCAGTATCACACACCACAATAGTTCACATAGAGAGGGAACACGACCATTATATCTTGAATAAAGAATGTTTGATCAGTTTAATTAAATAGCTTTCTTGACAAGTTCATTATTTTTGAAACTTAAATTATTTAAGATAATTCTAAGTGAGGGAAATTAAATGAGAACAGGACTAATTTCACTAAAAATATCGCTAGAAGAAATGCCTGTTCATGCGTCTACAATTCAGAGGGGATGCGGCTAGCGAAATACTAACTCAGAGATTACGTAGGACAATACAAAGGTCTTTTAACGCCGGAGAACTACGATTAGTATTTTCTACGCGCCCAATGGTTACACCGAAGCTAAAAGATGAATTACCTAGAATGACCACTTCATTTTGTATTTATCAGTTCAACTGCTCCTGTGGAGCGTGTTATATTGGTCGAAGTTCCAGGGATTTACATTTTCATGCTCGTGAACACCTTCCAGCGTGGCTAAATAAAGGTTTGATGAAGAAGGTGAACAGCTCAATATTGGCCCATCTAGTACAAACCGGTCATAGTGCCAGTATAAACCAATCTTTTTCAATTATAAGGTAAGTAATTTTTTGCCAAAACTGGTCAGACTGAAAGTCCTTCAAACGGCTGAAGCAATAGCCATCCGGATGAAGAAACCGGAGCTTTGCGTACAGAAGAAATGTATTCAACCACTCCTCCTCCTCCCCTGGCCAACATCAAGGCCAATTAATCAATCGTAATCTTAAGTATTGAATGAACTATCTTTATTCATAAATCTTTGTACTATTATTATTATTATTATTATTATTATTATTATTATTATTATTATTATTATTATTATTATTATTATTATTATTGGTTAAACATCATTATTAATCTCTCCTATACATGATTCATTCACTTCGCATTCATCTCTCCGTATTACGTCTTACTTATTTGATCGAATTGTAATTGCACTATTATTTCTGTCTCACCCTACTTGACCCATATTCTGATCATGGATCTTAAAATTTCATTTAACATATACGCAGATTCAAGTTAACATTCTATATGAGTCATATTAACATTAACAATTTTTTTTTGGTTGAGATCATGAATTAATTGATGTTAGACCACCGCTGGAAACCTGGAAGCACTGGACGGCCGTTTCGGCCTAGTATGGGACTCCTCAGCAGTGCGCATCCACGATCCCGCACCCCATACTAGGACGAAACGGCCGTCCAGTGCTTCCAGGTTTCCAACGGTGGTCTAACATCAATTAATTCATGATCTCAACCAAAAACTTAACAATCTCCACAACCCCCATACTGATAATTAACAATTTTATTGTATTTTGTCTCGATAATGATATTAGAAGACGAAGATTATCTGAACTATGTGATATATTAGCGCAATACATTTCGAACAATCTGGTCACACATATACTTGTGTATTCAAAAACAGTTTGTTCTTACCTTAAACCTACCCTGGTAATATTGACTTATTATCCAGAGTGATTAGGTTTCGCTTTGTGTTCACATTATTATTATTATTACTCTTATCATTATCCTTATCTCCTCTTACCCCGTTTCCTGTCTAGTTGACCTTTTATTTTTATATATAAATGCTCTTAACAAGTATATGTGTGACCAGATTGTTCGAAATGGATTGCGCTAATATATCACATAGTTCTGATAATCTTCGTCTTCTAATATCATTATCGAAATTGTATTTTGTTTATCACAATCCTAAATTCACATGCTCTAAACGATGTATTTTGCCCTTAACGTGGCCATTTTTTCGGATTATTAATTTGGATGTATAACTGTAGAACCTGATGAGAATTTATCGAAAAGAATATTCTTCGTTCAAATACTAATCTTTTAATATGACGGAGATCTTTAAACGATCGCTAGATATGTCAAAAAGTCTGTCAATGTTAAATAATTTTTCTTATTAGAATGCAAGTGATTCAGTAAAGTATTATGTCATCTTATTGTCAAAGTAAAATTGTAAACTCATTGAAATGACATCAGATGAAACTTTTTAAATGAGTAAATAAGTTTTTGAGTGAGATCATGAACCGATTGATGTTAGACCAACACTGAAAGCCTGGAAGCACTGGACGGCCGTTTCGTCCTATTGT